ATTATTTTTTTGCCTAATGGGAGCTTTCTTGGTATAATTGCTGGATTTAAATTCTGGTTTGTCCAATAAGCAAACAGAATATCCCTCTTGAATATTTGTCTTCTGTACAAATATTCCGAATGTGTGTGTGTGTGTGTGTGTGTGTATATTTGTAAGTGCAAATAATTTTACTCCTACAGTACTATTACAAATAGGTGGCCAACAGATAATTGCATCTTCCAGTAAGCTAATAGGGACAAGTTGGCCTTTGCAGTAAATTATTAGTTTTTTTCGTTGAGTCATTTCGATTAAATTCTACCCTGATTAATTATTTTCTGAGAACCAAATAGCCCTGTTCTTGCCCCTCCCTTTAATTTTCATCTCCCAGATGGACCATAAGGGTCAAAAAACAACATATCAAGATAACATTCAATTACCAAAGGTGTTTCTTTAACTCTTTACTCCCCTTGCTCCTGCATCATTCTCTAGGATTGAGAGAACCTTGTTCCCGAATTTAACTTTCCTTGGCCACGACTAACAGATTACCAGATAATCATTTGCATCATTATTTGTGAAATGCTTCTCAATCCACAACAGAAGTATAATATGTGAATATTGGCATATGCCTTCAAGTGAATAAGCATTTCTATGTGGACTTTGTGATCTTTTTATTCTTCACGACATCTTCTTGAAGGCAATGAGACGTATAGTCGCCCAACATAAAAGTTGGCCCAGCTAATTCTGGACTTCCATAACATACTTGACAAATATGCATTCAAGTGAAAGAGCATTTCTATATGGACCTTGCGCACTTTTTGTCCTGCATGACATCTTCTCAAAGGTGGTGAAAGCTTGTCGTCCCCTAACATAAAAGTTGACCCAGCTTGTTCAGGACTTCCATTACATACTTGACAAACCTCATTGTTAGGTTGGTGGTTATAAAACTTTTATCAAAACTATCATCATCATCAACACCTCCTGGCAGGTTCAAGGAGTTGTCATTGCCTTTAGGTACATCCACATGGCCGTCTGCATGATCGCAGAAGTTGCTCCATAATTCCTCGCCCATCTGCCATCTCAAGGGCCTAGTTCAACCTAGTAATTCTACCTCTTCCAGCAACCATAGCAACATTGTTCAGAGAAAAGAGGAAACTAGATACATA